CATTTAAACAATATTTAAAATCATTAGTTACATATTTCCTTATGTTCTTCCAACTTTTTTTTTTTTTTTTTTTTTTTTTGTTATATATTTATATTATTCAAAAACCTAAACAAAAAGCTGTTTTCTTTTAATGATAAAATTTCTTTATCTTCAATATCTTTTTTGGTTTTTCCACTTACAACTTTATATTTTAACATATATTGTATAGTTTTCTAAAAAAAAGAATAAATAAAATAAATAATAATTATATTATTTTATACATACTTAAATATTTGTTTTATTTATTTTATAAAATTATCAATTTTTTCTTTTTTATTCTTAAATGTTCTAATTATATTATTATTTCTATTTTCATTTATACTAAAATTGTATATAAATATGTATATGCAAAAAATTACTTTTAAATTGATCTGAAAAATACGAAATATGAATTGATCACTATTATTTAAGTGAACGTAATCATTAATATTGCAAAATAAGCTACTATATAAATTTTTAAACAAATGTATGTTGAATTTTTTTCTTCTTTTTCTACACCATAATGTCTTATTTTTATCAAATGGATCAATTATTCCTACAATCTAAAAAATATTTAAAAGTTAAAAAGAAAATATATAATTTTTTTTTTTTTTTTTAAGATAAAAAAATTTTTTTTTTTTTAATTATCAATATAATTACTTCATATTTAAAATATTTTTTGTTTTCTTTGTTTGATGATAATATATATGATCCAAATTGGAGAACATTACACACCTTTCTTGGTTTTATAAATTTCATTCCATATAAAAAAATAAAATATAAAAAAATTTGTAATTTTAATTTTGACATTTTTATATAATGCTTAAATATAATTATATTTTTATAATCGTTAAATAATAAAAGAAAAATTTCAAGAAAATAATAATAAAAACCTTAATTATATATTAACTTTTTTTCTACTATTCATTTTTATAATATAGTTTGAAATCCACACATGCATATATATATATATATATATAATTATTTATAAAATTGAAATTAATTAGTCAAAATAATATATATATTTAATTATTATTTTAGATTAACAATTTTTGTTTATAAACATTTCAAGGAGCAATTTTTATTAATAAATTTAGAAAATTAAAAGTATATTAATATCTTTATATGCTATATTATATTTTATAAATGCTTTCACTTTTATTACAACTTTGATAATTCATATTATTATTACTATTTATTGTTGTTAGCTTATTTTAAAATATCTTTTTAAATGATTTAATTCAATTACTTTATTTTATGTTATTTTATTATATTTTTTATATAATTATTAATATTTACTGAAAGATTATTTATACTGTTATTCATATAGTAAAATATTTTTATTTTTTAAGTTATTAATATTACTAATTGTTTTTATTTTATTATTAGTATCCCACTTTTAAAACAAATTCAAATGATATTTCTAATTTTTATATTAAGTTATCTCTATATACAATATGGTGTAATTTCTTTAACTTTTATTATTAAGTTCTTTTAATTAATATATTTTTTTGTTTTCTCTTAAGTTTATGCAAATATCTCCGTGTGTTATAATCATACTATTAATGTATATAAAATTTTACATTCTTATAACAGATACTATTTTTTCAGAACAAAATTTTAAGAATAATATTACACTTAATTTTTTTTTATTTTTAAATATGTTATCTATATGCATCTGTATCAGACTCCTTATGCTTACATATACTTTTTTTGAGGAAATTTGTTCATAAGAATTTATATATTATATTCTTGGATTTTTATATCTCAAATTTTAAAAAAAAAAAAAATTACATAAATTATAAATCGAAAAATTAATTTAAAAAATTTTGTAGAACATAATCATTTAAAACGAAAAATAATTGGGGTTATTTTTTTTTTTTTTTTTATTACATTTTTTAGAAATGATAAAATTAATTGCGTTTTCATATATTTTATTATATATAAATAATATCTCATTATTTATTTAAAAAAAGAAAAAATTAAAAAAATATAATATATAGATATTTATTTGTAGCAAAAAAATTTGACAAAATTATTATGTAAAAAAAAATAATACATTCTTTATATGCTTCAAATACTTTTGATATCGTAAATATATATATATATATATATATATATATATATATATATATATATATATATATATATATATTTATAATATTAAACAAAAAAAAAAAAAAATAAAATAAAAAATAAAAATATTTAAGTTGAATAAAAATAAAAGATTTACTGGTAACAACATAAAAACAATTTACAAAGAAATTTTTTTTTAATTTATAATAAGGAAAAAAAAAAAAAGATATAAAAAGAGTTAACATAAATTAAGAATGTTAGGAAAATGAAAAAAGATAAAACACCTTGTAAGAGATATTATCGCCAAAGAGCTCATTGCAATCCTCTTTCAGATAGTTACATAAAATATCCACTTAATTACAATTATGTTGACTGGAAATTACATTATCCATATTATTTTAAAAATGAAAATATAATAGAAAATAAAGAAAAAAAGAATGAAAATGCATTAAAAGATATAGAATATAATAATGATAATGATAACAGTAAGGATCAAACCGATAGAAATATTATAAATAAAGAAACAAATAAAGAAATTAATGATCTAATGGGTGATGTGAACAAACTGTATTTAAATACAAATAAGCATCCAATTACTTATGATAAAATTATATGTAGCAAATCAAATAATCATGAAGTAAAATTTTTAGATATAGGATGTGGTTATGGAGGTTTATTGTTTGCATTAAGTAAACTTTTTAATGATAAATTAATATTAGGCTTAGAAATCAGAGATAAAATTACTAATTATGTTGGTGAAAAAATTATTTCCTATAGAAATAATCATTATCCTTATTATAATAATATATCTATTATTCGTACTAATGCAATTAAATTTTTACCAAATTATATTAAAAAAAATCAAATTGAGAAAATATTTTTTTGTTTTCCAGATCCTCACTTTAAAAAACATAACTGGCGAAGAAGAATAATAACATTAGAAAATTTATCATTATATTATCATTTATTACAAAAAAACGGATTAATATATTTTATTACTGATGTGTTTACTTTACATTTATGGGTAAAATATTGTTTTTATAAATTTCCATATTTTAAATTGCTTTCTCATGAGGAATATAAAGACGACATTTGCATTAAATTAATACATGAAAGTTCAGAAGAATCAAAAAAAGTAAAAAGAAATAATCAAAATATGTATTTTTGTATAGCAAAAAAAATATAGTATATGTATATTATTTTCTCTTTTCTTTTATGAACTTTAAATATATGTATATATATCTGCTTTTTAAATTACTATTTAAAATGAAATTTTCAAAAACATTCACATATGTAAAATTTTTAAAAAATGTTGATTTATATATACGAAATTGTTATTAATGATAAGTTATAATAGAAATGAAAAACAAAAAATTTTAGTAAAGGTTTTACAAGATTTAATAAAGATGGAAAAAAAAAAAAATACATAACATTATAAAAAGGTTATCCTTATTTTAGTAATTATATTACAATAATTTGTCTAATTTAAAAATCTTTTCTATTAAATATTGTTAAATAAAAAATTAATAAACTGTAATTAAAAAACTATCCCTTATATAAAATATCTATTTGAAATTAATAGGTGTGAAAAATGTTTATTCTAGTATTTTTTTTTTTTTTTAACGAAATAAAATAAATTTAATGAATTCTTTTTTATCTTTTCTATATTGGAGTAAAAAATTTTTTTAATGTATCCTATTTTAAAATAAAAAAATGAATAAATTATTGATTAAATGTGAATAATAATAAAAAATAGTTCTTTAACAACAAAAAAAAAAAAAAAGTTAGAAAAGTAGCATTAATATTTTAAAATTAGATACAAGAATTAATTAAAAATAAATGTATGTTTATTTAAAAAATGACTTACAGAGCAAATTAATTTATATAAAATGGATACAAAAATTTTAGAGAAAAAAACTTTAAACAATAAAAAAGTTATAATTGAAAAAAGTATATAAAAGGAAAAAAATTATTTTATGGATTTTTTATTTTAATAATTATAAAAAAAAAATTTTATAATAAAACAGCTTTGAAAATAATTATAAATATTAAATACAGGGATTTAAAATTAATTAAAAATCTATATCAATATATTTATACCAAAACAATAATTAAGAGAGTTTTAACTTTTTATATTAAATTCATTTATAATTTTTTTAATAAAACCATTACATTTCATAAACGTATATTTATAAATTTTTACGTTTAATTGAATTATTATTAAAACAATCTAAGTACACCTACATTGGTCTTCTCTTAAAGGATATAAAGCTTGTTTATGAGGATCTTTATGAACTATACCACATATAGTGCAATAGGAATATTCTCCATTATTAGCTGATTGTATATCTGTTTTTCCTATTAAGATAAAACAAAAAATAAAATGTTTTGCAGTTATGCATAAATTTATGCAATTTTAATATATTATTGTTTTAAAAAAAAAAAATTGTATACATAAAATAATTACCAATTGAATCATATGATACGCATTTTCCAGTATGCTTTCCAGGGCTAGTACCTTTATGAGAATAACAGGATCTCATTTTAACAAAAACAAAAAAATAAATAAATATAAAATAAGTAAAAATGAAAAATTGGGACTTTAATATTATATAATAAAAAAAAAAAAAAAATTTAAATTAGAATAAATTTTAGCAAAAAAGAAGTTTTTTATTTTTATTTGATGTGTGTGAAAAAAAATTTAAATTTAAAAAAGAAAAAAAAATTTATCTCTTGGAGACTTTTAATTAATAGTTCATATATTTTTTAATCAAATTATAGCTTAAATTGCTTACATTTCATATAGTATCATTTTTATAAGAAGTTGTAGCTAATATGTAATGAATAAACTAACCAATAAATTAAATATACGAATATATAACTGATATTACGTGCATATATATTTTTATTAACATATTCATTTTTATATTTATGTTTTTTTTTTTTTTTTTTTTTTTTTTTTTTCGCTTTTTTAATAAATAAACGATGATTTGCAATAATTGAGCTTGTTTATTGATACATATAAAATATAACCATTAAGCTTTTTTTTTTTTTTTTTTTAAACTTTACAAGAAAAGTGTATCAAATTTTATTATTTTTTCAAATATATAAAAATAACATGATATAAAATTCTTTTTTTAGTTATTTTTGTTTTACATTTTTAAATGGAAATTTTTTTACATGTCAAAAAATTTGCATTTCTGTGAGTAGCTGAAATTGAATGAATGTAAGTGTTGTAACGTGGGTTCATTTTTAAGAAATATTCTTTAAACCTTAAAAAAAAAATATATAATTTTTATAGGCATGCATAAACATTCTCACAAACGTATAATTATTTATATATTTATATTCATTTCAATGAAAATATTAATTAAATAATAGAAAATTAAATTGAGATTCCTATATCAAATTATTCAATTTTTAAAATAGAAAATTTAAAAATATCCTTTTAATTTCACTCAAAATTTATTTGAAAAAATAATTATAAAGAGTTGTAGCCTCTTGCAAATGAAATTGATGTAAATATTTTATCTTTTTTTAAGGAATCGATTAAAAATTATAAACACATTAGAATATATAAATATATAATTTTATTTTATTCTATTCCCTAAATTTATTGTTTATATTTATATATATATGTTTTATCTTAAATAAAATTACAACAAATGAATCTTGTTTTTTTAAGAAAATTTAAAGAATAATAAATATTTCTGAAATAAAATATATTATTTATAACTTTTTGTGATTACTTTAAAAGTAGGATAAAATATAAGATGAATTATACAAATTAATTTATTAAGCTTTTTAAATTATTCTACTTACTACTTATATTAATCACATTTTATATAATTTTGTTATCTGGTTCAGTCCAATTTCAAGGAGATAGATAAAAAAATAGCATTGCTTTTTTGAGTAAAGAAACATAAACTTAGTTTTCATTCTTACTAAATTTGTAACTTTTTGAAAGAATAATTATATATTATATTAATATCAAATATTTCAATATAACAATTATTTTTACCTTTTTTCTTTTAATGGATTAAATTTTATTGCACACAAAAAAAAAAAAAAAAAAAATATTAAAAATAAAAAAGGGCCAAAATAATATATTAGACAAAAAATATGTAAATTTAGGCTATAATTTTCATAACATGAAGAGTTACGATTTTTAAAAAATAAAAATTTATTTACAATATAAAAGGATAATAATATATATATTTTTCCATGTTAAATTAAATAAAATATTAAATTAAAAAAGTAAGAATAAATATGCAAAATAGTATTTTTCTTAAATTTTCATTCTTATATTTTGTACTTTTATAGTTATCAAAAAAAAAAAAAAATGTAAATAAAAGAATAAAATATAATTTATATATGTTTTACCAAAAAATGTATAACAGAAATTAGAAATAATAATATACTATTTTTATACACTTTTAGCAAAAACTAATAATAAAAAATTCACTAATTTTTTATGGTAAAAATCCATTTGCTAAAGTAATTATTTTCAATTTATTCATAATAAAATTTTTGCTTTTATTTTCCTTAAACATATTTCTTTTTCTCATCTCTTTTTATGTATTAAAAAAATCACTTTGATAAAAAAAATATTACATTTTTATATATATTTATTTAAAATATAATATCTTAAGTCTTTTTTTTTTTTTTTTTCTCATTTCTTCTTTTGTATTCTTTTTATCAAATAAAGGATATATATATATATATATTTTAAATAATTAATCCTGCTATGAAGATTGAGAGAATTATTATTAAAAATAATAATAGCTTTTGTTAGTTTAATATTTTATTTCAGTATTACACAAATGTAAATTAACATTTTAAGTATTTAATATTACATTTCGAAATAATATTCCATAAATGTATTTCACAATTATAATTTAATTTTATAATTATATGTCATAAAAATATAATAAATTTTTTTTTAATTATATCAACAAATATTACAAAAATATTAAGTATTAAATGAAATTAGTAAATTAGGATATCTACATTAATTAAAAAAAAAAAAATAAAAAGATATACTATAAAAAGATAGTTCACCTTACAAAATTATATTTAAAAAGGATATATATAATAAAAAAAAAAAAAAAAAAAAAAAAAAAAAGAATATAATAAAAAGTAATATAAGTATTTAATTATAAACATTGATAATTTTATAATAAAAAGTTTAATAAATAATTAATTTCATCACTAAAAGATCTAAAATTATTATTGTTATAATGCTATATGAAATCATTTAAACATATAATTTTATAAATTAATATATTAGTATTTTGTTAAGATAATAATTTCTTAATATCCTTAAAAATATTTCTTTATATTGTACTATCTTCAAAAAATATATATATATATATGTGTTTTTTTTTTTAAATTATATACATATATATAAGAGAAAATGCATCTAAAAATTAAATGTTTGAGTGATGAAGTAAGAGAATTATACAAAAATCATAAAACATATCATGAAGGGGATAGTGGGTTAGATTTATTTATTATTAAGGATGAAGTGATAAAGGCTAAATCAACTACATTTGTTAAACTAGGTATAAAAGTAGTAGCTTTACAATATAAATGTGATTGTTACAATAAGTGTTGTGAAAAAAATAAGAAAGACGATACAAAGAATGTGATAAATACAAGTTTTTTATTATTTCCACGTAGTAGTATATCTAAGACACCTCTACGATTGGCTAATTCAATTGGTTTAATAGATGCAGGGTATAGAGGAGAAATAATTGCTGCTCTTGATAATATTAGTGAAGATGATTATCATATTAAAAAAAATGATAAACTAGTTCAGTTAGTCTCTTTTACAGGTGAACCCCTTTCCTTTGAATTAGTTGATGAACTTGATGAAACTTCAAGAGGTGAAGGTGGATTTGGTTCTACTTCAAATAATAAATAACAATTTGTTTTCTTTTTTCCTTAAAATGTACATAATATATATATATATTCTAAAAAATTTTAGTGAATATTTTAAAGTTTTCTATTATAATTTTAAAGATAAATAAAATTGCATATATATAAAGAACAAGTGAAAAATTATAAAAAAGGAAAAAAAAAAGAAACACAACTGAAGTACTTACAATGATAAGATAATTATACTAATGAAATATTATAAAATTAAAGAATAAAAATACATAATATAGTAAAAACTTATAAATTTCTATATAAAATTTAAATTAAAGAAACATATTTTTATTCATACAGTAAACTTTCTATTTTTACTAATATAAATATATAAGATTTAACAACATTGATATATAATTATAAAAAAAAATAAAAAAAAAAAAACTTCAATTAATAAATATTTCGTATTATTTTAATTAAAAAAAAGGAACAAAAATAAAGATTGTTTTATTATAACACCCCCATCTATTTCTATAATTAATTAAAACATTTATCAAATGAATAAAATACTATCTAAATAATATATTAAATTCTATATATTTCATATAAAAGAGTATTAGTTTCATAAAGATAAAATATTTTGGGGTAAATATAAAAATAACAAGGTACAAAAAAAAAAAAAAATAAAATAACTAATTCATAGATTTTCATATGAAAAATATATAACTCTAAAAAATATTCTAAATAATTAGAATTTTTTTAAATATTTTATGTAAATTATATTTGCCTATTTTTTTATATAATTTAATTTTCAATATAATGTTATAATATTAATACTTCTTATTGTTCTTGTATAAATAATACTTTAATTTATTTAACAATTCAAGTATTTTTCTTTAATAAAAATTCTTATTTTGGAAAAAAATGTTTTTTAATATATTTTTCTTTGTTTATTTAACATTTTTTATTATTTCTTATATTAGAATGAATATAATTAATATTTCTTAAAAAAATTTTAAGGCTACATTTTTTAGAAGAAATATATATTTAAAATATAGCAAAAAAAAAAAAATAAAAGAAATAAAAAATAATTGCATAAATTTAAAAATTATTCTTATAGTTTTTCCTTATAAAAAGAATTGTGATAAAATAATTTCTTGTTTTTCAAATATTCATTTTCACATGTAACTATTATAAGAATTTTGTTTCTAGATTTTTCATACTACAAATCTTTAAAATTATTGATAAAAAAAATATGAAAATTAAAAAAGTATTTAGTGATTAATTTGATGAGATTATATTTATTTTTTTTTTAAAGCAGCCTATTTAAAATTTTTTTTTTTTTTTTCTTGTGAATATTTTGTATTCATCTTTTTTTTTTTTTTTTTTTTTTTTTTTTTTAAAGGTTCCAAGGGTTTCATTTTTTTTTTTTTTTTTTTTAATTTTTTTTAATGATCATTAACTATATGAATATAAAAAAATTTTTAATATAAATGAAAATAATTTTCTTCAAAACAATATACAAAATAAAATTAATTTTGTAAAACATTTTTGGATGCTAAATTTAGAACTATACATGGTAAAGAGAAGAAAAATATTTCTAAAAAAACAAAAGTTAGAGTCAATTTTAAAATAAATTCCTTAACTTGTTTTTTTGTACAAAAAAAAAAATGTGGAGCCCATTAAATGATTCAGAATATACTGAAACTTCAAATAAATGTAATAAAAGGATATTAAAAAAGAAATAATAAAAACTATAGAGAAAAAATAAAGAATAAAACATAATTAATATGAAATATATTACTGTAGAATTTGATAAGCTAACATCATTCATACAAAATTATTTACTTTTTTATTTCTTTCCTTTTTTCTTTTTTTTCTAAATATAGATACAAAGAAGGGATTTTTTCATACTTTGAAAAAATATAAAAAGTTCATATATATATTTTTAGGAATTTTTGTAATATATATTTTATTCATTGTATATTATGAAATTAATGAAAAAAGTAATATAAAAAATTAAGGTGTTTCACTTATTTCGTTAATTATATGTTTATTTAATTTATATAAATTTTAATAAATAAGTTTAAATCGTTTCCTACTTTAAAATATTTTTTATTCAATATATATAATTATTATATCATTTATATATTTCTTCCTTATCTCTCTTATTTAGATGCTGATAAAGATATAGATTGCAATGTATTAAATGAAGAATGTAAAAATTACACATATCCCGAATTTGATCGTAATCCTATTTTTATTTTAATATGCTATTTTATGATAAAATTATATAAACATTATTCTTTTTTTTTTTTTTTTTTTTTTATTCATTTTATTGTTAATGTTTTATTCTAATTATTTAAACAGCTGAAAGACTTTTAATTGTTGACGCTAATATTGAAAATAATAACTTTCTATTAAGAAGTAGTGTTCCTATATTTAATGGTAATTCAAAATAAATAAATAAGTATATATATATATATATTTAAAAACTCAACAAAATAATTTTTATATAATTTTAAAATTATGTAATGAATTGCATTAAAAAAAAAAAAATTCTAATTAATACATATAAATACTTGTAAAAACAATTTGATGAATTTTTTTTTTTTTTAGGTATATTTTCTGAAGAGTTACTATTAAAAGAAATTAAAAGAGTAGTAGAAGAATCAAATTTAGTTTATAAAAATAATTATTCGCTTTATATAATATCACTGTTAAAAAACAATCAAAAGGTTAAAAAAGATAAATTAAATATTTTATATTTTATATTATATTATAAATCTATTTTATTATAGGAGGGATGTTGTTATGCATCTGAAAAGTGCTATGTAAAAGAAGCAAATGTAGATAATCAGCTAATTCTAGGGTATAGAGATAAAGACCCATATGATTTGAAAAAGGAGGTATGAAATAATATAAAAAGTAAAATTTTTTATTTTCATATATATAATTAATTTCGAATTTTACAAAAAATAAGGTATATCTAAATATTTTATTTTTTTTATTTTTTAAGGAATTAATGACTAAATTAAAAAATTTAACATGGAACACAGATGATATATTAAATAAAATAGACAGTTTATATGAAAAATTTCTTAATATGAAAAATACTATATTTGTAATTCATTGTCGAAGAGGAAGAGATAGAACTGGTGAATATGTTGGTGCTTATAGGATGATAAAAAAAAAACAATCGTTTGATAGCGTAATGAATGCTAATTCTGAGATAGGAATATTAAGAGAATCTTTTGTTAAAATGCAAAAGTGGATCTGCTTATACTTAGAAAATGTTTTAAATTATCCTAATATGGGTTGTTATGATTATAGAAGCGGTAGAGAATAAAAATGAAACTTTTTTGCTTTTATTTATTATACTTTAATGCATTTTTCTATGTTTTATTGTATTTTATTATATTTCCTTTTATATAGTAATTTATTTTAAAATATTTTCCATCTAGAATTAATATTTTTTTTTGAATTTATTTTAATCATATCCCTATTTTTTATGTTTAGTATTTTTTTATTATTGCGTTACCTTTTCAACTTGTTTTATATATTTCATTTTTTTTTTTTTTTTTTTTTAAATATGTTTTTTAAATGGAATTTTGTTAGCAAGCAATATTTAAAATAAATATATATATATAAATATATATGTATTTTTTTTTTTTTTTATTTTGTACGAGAATTTTTTATTTTTTATTATTATTAAAATTAATTCAGAAATATTATAAACCATTTGGTTATTTTATAAAAAGGTGATAATCAAAAAAAAAAAAAAAAAAAAAAAAAAAAAAAAATATATATATATATATATGTAAAATCCATTTTCATTTTTTATATTTTTAAAAATAACCTTTATTAAAATTTATGAAATTATTTAATGAAAAAGAAATTTATATACAATAAAAATAAAAAAATAAGGTGAAATAATTAGAAGAATAAAAATAAAAACAAAGTAAATTAAATTAAAAAAAATCTTTAAAATTTATAACCAAAGCTAAAAGAAAAGAAATTAAAACATTCATTTTATTCAAAAATAAGTATCAGGAATTATTTATTTTTCATTTTGTATTTATTTTATTTTTTTTTTTTTGTAAAATAAAGAGAAATGTCAGTGGTAAGGAAAAAGGATTTACGAATAATTTCATTATATGAAATACTTTTTTTTTTTTTTTTTTTACATAGTATTGTATTCAACATATATAAATAATATATTTTGTTGTATTTTAAAATAATAATTACATCAACAGAATTTTATAAATAATTATTTTATAAATAATTATTTTATAAATTATAATTATCTTTTACATTTATTCCTTTTTAATTAGGGAATTGCACCTTTAAATCCTAAGCCATTTTTAAATAGTTTGGCTGGAAAAAGAGTAGTAATAAAATTAAAATGGGGAATGGAGTATAAAGGTTTTATAACATTTTTGTTTTTTTTTTCTTTTTTTTTCTTTTCTTTTCTTTTTTTTTATATTATTTTCTTCTTTTTTTATATTATTTTCTTTTTTTTTTATATAATAATATACTTCTTTTAAACTTTATAGGGAATCTAAAATCTTTTGACGCTTATATGAACATTAGATTGATAAATGCAGAAGAATGGATACATGGTGATTACAAAGGAACTTTAGGAGAGATATTTTTAAGGTAGACAGATGAAATATAAAAATGAAAAATAATAATATTAAATAAATAGCAATATACTTAATTTCTTATTTTCAGATGTAACAATATTTTATATATAAGAGAGGAAAACGAAAAGAGCAAAACTGAAAAATAAAAGATTTTTAAATTCTATAAACGAAAAGCCAATTTATTTTCACTTTTTTTTTTTTTTTTTAGTTTTAATTAATTTTCAATATTATAAAATACATTAGTTAATACTTTTTTTAATTAATAACTTATTTTAAAGTAATATTTTTAATTTTATAGTTGATTCTTTATTTTTTAAAGAAAAAATGAAAAATGTAAGTTAATGAGAATAAACTTTTTTTTTTTATAAATTTTAATAATATAAAAAATATGATTAATTTGCCAAAGTGATAAATTTAAATATTCAATTTTATTTTATTTTTTTCATTTCTAAAAAATTTTTGTCTTTTTCATATATATTCCTTTATTTATAAAAAAGAAATATCTAAGTAACATTTATTTACCTATATTTTTCTATTTTATTATATTTTATTATATTTTATTATATTTTTTTCTATTTTTTTCTATTTTTTTCCATTTTCTTTTTTTTAAAGTGCAGCAAAATTTTTGTACACTTGTTGATTAACCATTAAACTTAAAAAAAAAAAAAAAATAAATAAATAAATAAAACTATACAAAACAAAATATCATAAAATGTAAGATAATAAATAATGAAAATGAATAATTTTTAAAAAAAAAATTAAGGAAAAAATGTTGTGATATGAAATTAAATAATAGAACTATATTATCTAGTTCTGATTATAATTAAAATCTTCCATTAAATTTAAATTCAAAATAATTATTTCATCAATTATGTTCATTGTATTTAAAATAGCAATAAATATGTAAATATTTATTCATACTAACATCATTAAGAAAAATAAAAGGAATTAAAATATTAAATTTATGAAAAACAAAATCGTAACTATGTTAAACAAGAAGATATAATTTCATTCTTGTTTTTTTCAAGATACATATACATAGGGTATTTTATATTTTTATTTTTTTCTTCAAAATAGTATTAAACTTTTTAACTTTTTTTTTTTTTTTTTGTTTATTATAATTACTAAATTTGTTAGGTTTCTTGGTATTATTGAAGTTTATTTAATTATTTTTTTTTATTATTTCTAAATTATTGCAGTTAACATATAATGTATTTTTTGATAAAATATTTTCCTATCAATATAATTATATTATTTCTTTATTTTAATTTATTTTGTTGGTTAACTATAATTTCTGATTACTGGAGATCTTCTGTAACTAACTGAAGAATTCTCTGAATTATCGATTCCTTTATCTTTTCTATTACTTTTTTGCTTATATTTTTTTTTATTAATTTGTTTATTTAAATATTTATCCTTTTTTTTTTTAAATGAACTACTATAACTACTTCTACTATTAGTTGATATTTCCATTGAACTATAACTACTTTTGCTATAAGTGGAACTTTCATAAGAATCTTTAGAATCTCTCCTTTTTCTTAATTTCTTTTTATTAATAGATTTATTATTTATTTTATTTTTATTATTATGTCTTATTTTATCATATTTTTCTGAATTACTAGAAGTACTCTTTGTTCTATTTCTTTTTTTTCTTTTTTTTATATATTCTTTATCATCTGACAGTTCACGAGAGTTTTCATATGCACTTTTACTTTTATAAGTGTTCTCACTAGTACTCCTATATGCATTTTTGTCATTCTTACTTTGTGAACTATAACTTTTTTTACTTCTAGAATCTTCACTTCCTTCACTATCACTTCTTTTATCTTCATTTCGTCTACTTGTGCTTTTAATTTTTTTAATTGTTTTTTCTTTATCACTTACATCAACATGTACCTTTTTATTTTTACTTTCCTGACTAATGCTCCTTTTTATTTCCATACTATCGCTGTTATCACTTTTGATCTGATTTTTATTTTTACTTCTCTCACTTTCACTATCACTCTCACTGTCATTCTCATTCTCACTTTCACTTTCACTTCTGCTTTCACTTTTTCTGTCACGGTTACCTCCTCTTTTTCTATAAGAATATGAATGTTTAACTTTTTTTTTACGAGATTCTTTATCCTTTTTGAGTTTTTCTTTTAATGAATTTTTGTATTTTCTAACAGATTTTTTAGTTTCATTTTTATAATCATTACTACTTCTATAGTCAGAACTCTCTGATAAACTTTCCTTGATTCTTTTTTTTTTTTTATTTAAGTGTTTATGCCTATATTTACTTTTATAATCTGAACTTGTACTACTTGAAGAGTTATTATTACTACTTGATATATGTTTTACAATTTTTTTCTTTTTTAAATTAATTTTATCTTCTTTTTTTTCATCAACATAACTTTCATATAAGGATGCACCTTCACTATTTTTTTTATCGTGACTATATCTATTTATATTTTCATCATGATCAGTAATATTTCTGTTTTCATTAATATTAATGAATGATTTATTTTTATCATTACATTCTTTTGTAGAATCATTACAAATGTTTATATTGCTGTTAATGTTTTCATTGTCTTTTTCATTTACATATGATGTAATTTTGTATTCATTTTTAATTATATTTGAAAAATTATTTTTATCATTTTTTTCAACTTCATTAGTTTCGTTTGTAGTACCTTCTGATTTTTTTTTATTATTCAAATTGTCATTGTCACTTTCATCCTCTTTTAAATTTTTGCATTTAATAGATTCTACATTCGAATTAGAATTTAATAAATTATTGGAATATATTTCTTCTTCTTTTTTTTTATATTTTAAATTACTTATATTATCCAATTGTTTTTCATCAATATTATTTAATAGTGGCATAAAATTATTATTTGAAGTTTTCGTATTTTGTTCATTTTCACTTTTTTTCTCTTTTTGATAAGTGTTATTTGTTTCATTATCATTTTCTGTAGAATTTTCATAATTTTCACTTTCCTTGTATTCTAAATTATTACTAGAAATACCTTCTATAATATTATTTTCTTTCTTTTTTTCTTTATCACTTTCATAATCTAACTTAGAATTATTTATCCTTCCTTCACTTGATTCGGATGATTTCACTTTGGAATTATTCTCATTTGAACTATCAATGGCTGATGATTTTTTACAGTCTTCATTTTTATAAGTAAGAGAATTTGAACTTCTGTTATAACTATTTTTGTCTTTTTTACTTGTGTAAAAACTTTCTTCAGAGGAACTTTTATCACCTGAACTTTCTCTATAACTATTATTATTTTTAGTAGTTTTACTTATTTTTTTTTTTTTCTCTTTATTATCTTCTTTACTCATACTTTTTGATGACCCTTCATCATAAATTTCTTCGCTAGAATAACTTTTTTTTTTTCTATAATTGTTTTTATTTTTTCTATTATGTCTTCTACTATTTTTCCTTGAATTACTCTTACTAATACTTTTTTTAACATTTCTACTTTTTTTTTTTTTCTTCTTTTTATACTCATAATCACTGTTACTACTTCTACTACTACTACTACTACTACTACTGCTACTGCTATATGATGAATAATATGAAGAGTAACTATAACTAGATGAACTTCTTGAATATTTTTTATAATTTTTATATTTTCTTTTATACTTTTGTATATTATGACTCCTACTTCTTTTATGATTGCGTCTATCAGGTTCTAATGACCTATATCTACTATACCTTCTTCTACTGCTACTATATTTATCTCTATATCTAGAGTCATTCATATTATTATGATACATTTTCATAGTATCTGGTGATTTTCTTCTATTTTGAGCTATAATAATTTTTATTTCTTTTCCATCTATTTTTGAATTATTTAAAATATTTAAAGCTTCTTTTGCATATTTTGGTTCATAATATTCAACAAAGCCAAAACCTCTTGGCCTTCTTGTATAATGGTCTAATGGTAAATAAACATCACGAATTTTTCCAAAATGTTCAAAAATTTTTCTGACCTTTTCAGGACTTGTTTCAAAACTTAAATTCCTTATTAATAAACTACATCCATTTTCGACCATTTTTTTTTCTTTTTTGTTTCTTTGTTTTTTCTTATTTCAAAAATTTATTCTATATTACAATATTTAAATGTAAAAATATATATATAAATATATATATATATTTATATATTTAATCGTATTTACATATATAGATATATAAAAATTTATTTTTTCTTATTTTTTTGTTATAACTTTTACGAATTTTTCTATTTTTTTTTAAATAAAAAAATAAAATATGCATGTATATTTTTTAATTTTATAAAGGTAGTAAAAAAAAATGAATTGAATTGAATTGAATTGAAATTATTTTTTTAATATCATTTTATCAAATTATAATGAAAAAATTAAGAATCCTATAGTACTCTGTTAAATCAATGATATTTTAATGTTCTGTTTTTTTTTTTTTTTTTTTACTAACATTATTAATATTTTATTTTAAAAGATTTAGCAAAGATTTATAAATCAATCATAAATATTATTATTTTTGTTAATTTTAATTATTTTTTTTTATTAAAAAAAATATAAATATATATATATTTATTAAGAATTTTTTTTCGATGTAAGATGTAACTAATTTTATTTTATTAGTATTTTTTTTATAAAAAATATTAAATTAAATTTTAAGTTTCTATTCGTTTTAACAAATATATGTACATATGTATATATATATATATGTATGTATTTTAATTCTAAATATATAAAATCTTACAAATGTATTTTGTACATTTTTATCTCATAAAAGAAAGATTCCATGGTAAAAAAAAAGAAAAAGAAAAAGAAAATGTGAAAAGAAAGAAAAAAGAAGAAATTACATTTAATTTTCTTTAGTAAATTTACATATATTTGAACTATTTATACTTCTCATTAAAATTTTAATTTATAACTTGTATTTTTTATTTCCATTTAAATATTTTTCTTTTAATTTTATATTATTTTAATAAATCATTAACCATATAGATTAACAAAAAAAAAAAAAAAAAAAAAAAAAAAAAAAAAAAAAATCAATATATTTATCAAATACCCCAAAAATATATATAATATACACATTATCTTTAATAACTGTCTCTCCTTATTTAAAACATTTTATTTTTTTTAATGCAATGTTCTACAATTCTGTATTATTCTTATTTGACATAAAACTTTATGTTGATTTCTATTTTAATATGAAAGATTAAAAAAAATGAATATATATATATATTATAACATAATTAACAAATGAAAACAAAATAAATATAATAATTTAATTGTATAAAAGTTTTTTAAATAAAAAGTAAAATAATGTAAAAATAACTAAAAGTAATAAAATAAACTTCTACATTAAATAAACAAATTTTTTTTATTTTTTTAAATAGTAGTTATTTAGATTTTATATGCCAAAAGAAAAAAAAAAAAACATTTACATGTATGTGTATATCATTATATATATTTTTTATAAAATGTATTTTTTTTTTTATAAAGTTATCGCGTTTTTTTTCATGAGTAAAAAATTATTTAAATTATACTTATAAAAAAGTTAATTTATATAAACAAGATTACTTAAAAAATGTGTAAAATTTTAAGTTTTATGGATATTTCCTTAAGAATTTTTATCTCATAATTTAATTAAAAAAAAAAAAAAAACTAGCAAAATTTTCAATTTTTTCTAAGAGGAAATACCAAATATATAAATTCTAATAAAATACTATTTTAAGTTTTTTTTTAATAGTGCATTAATAAATAAATATTCTAAATTAAGTGAAATATTAAAAAAAAATTCTATGTTTTTAAGACAATCCTAAATTCTCTTTAAAATTATTTTGTTACGGTATATATTCTTATATTTCTTAAATATAGGATTTCTATATTTTTTTCTTAAAATAATTTTTATAATCTAATTATTGAATTTGAGAATTTTAATAAAATTTTCAATATTGTCTTTAATAATAACATATTTAAGAGAATCTAAAAAATATTCATAAATAACTATAAAACATAGGACGATATTTTTAAATTAATTATTCATATTATTTCTTATATATAGAATTATTTAATTTTGTACTTCAAAAGAGTTTATGAAAAAAATAATGAAATGAATAATATAATACAATATATAGATCAAATTAATTTTTTTTTGATATTTTTTTTTTTTTTTTTTTTGTGCACATATATAAAATATATAATAAGGAAACAAAAAAATTAAATGAAAATTACTGTATAATTTTACTAACATAATATTATTTATATTGAATTTTTTTATTTGTAACATAAAATAGGTTATATAATATTTATAAAAATTCATTTCTCATTTGATATAATAACATTTTTAAATGAATTTTTCAATGATTAAAATTTTATTTTCCAAAAAGAATGAAATTTACTGTTTTAAAATAATTTAAGAGAAAATAAATATATTATCATGAATATAAATTTATAAATATTATTTTTTTCTTTTGTTTTATGTAATTTTTATAATGTAAAAGGATTTTCACATGTAAGAAAAAAAAAATCATTAATAAAAAATAGAGATACTTACATAAAAACTGCTGTTATTTACTATATAAAGCTCTATATGTGTAATTAAAAAAATAAAAATGTTTTTAAATCCCTTAAAATAATTATAAAGAAAAAAAAAAAAAATTCCAATTATTCTATAAATACTAACATATTATATATGAAGAAACTAGGCAATATATTATTCATAAGTTTTTTCGTCTTTCAATTTTTATTGTTCATTTTTGCTTATTTATACCTTTTAAATACAATATATAACATTCTAATATATATAAACATTAATTTTTCAATTTACTTTTTAATAAAGTAAATTTATAGATTTACACTATGATATACAAATTTTGTAAAAATTTTTTTTTTTATTATTAAAAAGTATGATATAAAGAACACACTTGTACAAATTTAAAAAATATTATTTGAGAAAATATTTCAATAAAGTAATAAAAGTTTTTAAAAATATATATGTACAATCATAGAATTTTCTAAAGTATTTATCTTATATTTTTTGATTATTACAAAAATGTTACCAAGCTAAATATAAAAATATATATTTTAATCTTGATGGTTAATAAAAAAGAAAAAAATAATATTTTTCTTATTTTAAGTTCACTATTTTTTTGTTATATTCAACTTTGATCTTTTATAATTTTTCAAGATTTGTTATTTTAATGAATAAGAATTTTGTTAAAATAATTGAATTTTATATGAACAGTGTATACAATTATATGTAAATATTTAAAACGTTAATGTTGTTTTTTAAAAAGCATATACACTTTATTAATTTATTGTTTTTTATTCTTTCATAATAGGAAAAAGAAAAAAAGTTTTTTAAATTTATTTATATATTAAATTTTACTAGCTGAAATATAAAAAAAAATTCTCTATAATGAAAAATAAAAAAAAAAAAAAAAAAAAAAATATATAATTTTCAAGCTATTTAGTTAACTAAATATCCTATAAAATTTTACATATTGTCTACTTTTTTTTTTTTTTTTTTTTTTTAA